TGGCTTTTTTTCATTAGTTTTTCTGATAGGCATCGGCTTTAAAGATGTCAAAGAAACTTGATGTTACGCATCTCAACTTTCTAATTTCAGCATAAATTGCGCTAAATAAATTTTGCTTCGTTATTTAATTTAATTTATTCTATTATATTTTTGAATCCCTATCTTTTCAGAATCTTTTCACCCATACTTTCTACTTCTCTTTTTCACTCATATATATAATTTATCATGCCCATTACCACTGTACTTATTTTAAGAGCCCCAAACCTAAAATTAAGGAGGACTCTCATGATAATGAAAAATGAATAATTAATCACTAATAAAATGCACCGGTGAACAGAAATATTCTTGTTAGTCAAGAACAATTACCCCTATGTAAGGGCCTTTTCAAACAAATGACAGAAAAAATCACTAACCAAACCGACCACCCCGCGGCCACGTACGGTATCCAGCGTTCCGGAGATGCTAAAGATTTTCCAGTGCCTTTCACGCAGCACCACCGAGTCTTTCCCAAGATTTTCCAATCGTATGCAGTACCTCCACTAAAACAAATGAACGTCGAAATTAAAAGCAAATTTAAAAATACATGATTCCACTGAAAATGAGTTAAATAAAGGAAAGAATGGGGAAGTGAATGAGAAGATACAAAAGAGAGGCAAGCAGAAAAGAAAGGACAAAGGAAATATCTACATCTACGCTGTCATTAAGCACATTATATGTTGCTTATTTTCCTATACCATGATATTTGTTTAATGAACTTAGAGACCACTGAAAATTCCAAAAATCAGCTCTCCTGTATTACGGCATCTGAGGAATACTCTCGGAAGATAGGGTAATTAATCAGAATTTTTACAATCTGATTAATTACAATTAATTCATTCCGTACTACCATTCTGAACGCTAAACGGTGTGCATTCGTCGCAAGCGATTAGCGATCTGTTTTACCATTTCTCAAACAAAATAACAAACAGATTTATACTACATGTACAGCCACAAAAATCGGCGCAGTAAACTGTTCATGCCTCATAAATTCACCATTCATAAACTCGAAGCTGACCTACAGTAAAACTTCTGCTCTTTGTTATGATTACACTTTACAACATACACGTAGTGCAAAGAGTTCGTGCATTGTGACAGTTGAAAAAATGAACACGGTGATCATGAAAACGTCATCCAGAATGGCCATATTTGTCTATTAAGTGTAATGTCCAACATCTCAAGCATTCACAGTTCTTGTTGCGCAACTTCGATATAAAAATTGAAGAATCAACGGTAGGATAGTAAATTTTGATGCTCAGGCTTTTCTTACAATGCCTTTTTATTTTAATACTCTCTAACTTGACTTGAGGTGTCAGAAACTGTAAAAAAATGTATCCTTCGCAAATTCATACAAAAGAGTAAAACGCTTGTACCCAGTAAACTGAGGTGTTATGTGCCTCACGGAACCCCATGTAAAACGGGATGACCGTCACGCGAATGTCTTCGGTAGTTTCCTTATGAACACTGCTCAATTCCAACCACGGATAGTTTTTCTCTTGCCAAGCGCGCAATGTTTCGCGAGCCACGAACGGTGGGTCTAAACGGAAATCGCTGAAAGCTGAAAACCAACGGCGCTAGTGCCTCGGTCGTGTACCTTTGCCGGCGTTGCTGATCAGAAACCTTTCGAACAGCTCATGGACGATCGGCAGACTTTCGGCCGAATGGTAAGGCAGAACGTCTTCATGAGCCACGTAATCGAGTCCTACAAAATATTCGTA